TTTTGATGAAAGCACGAGACGGGAAAGAAAGTGGTTGGGAAGGGGGTAGTAACGCAAACTTCGGAGGAGGACGGAGATCTTTGGGAGTGGGGGGTGTTCTTGCTTGCGAGGTTTCACGTCAAAGAAGGTACGGATCATTGAGGGATGGAGGGAGAGAGGAGGAGGTATTCTATGACTGGTGAAGGCGTCATGTTGGATGCGGTAGGATTGATTGATTCAAAGTCTACGAGGAGTGACATGGTAATTCCTCATCGGGGCTGGGGTATCATAGCAATCAGTGAAAGATCACGCGAGGGGGCCCCTCATCCTGCCGCATCTTTTCATCTATCCACCTCGCTCGGAGAGTGGAGGTGCTCTGGGTATAGCTCTCAAAGACCCATGTACGAGTACGGTACACTGGTACCCCATCTTACGCCCTCTACTATGGAACCCTACAGTGCCCGTATGGGCAGCGCTCCGTCGATTTCTTTGGCACTTGACCTCTTGCATCATGGATGTAGCGCCCTGTGTGGCTGAAACCGAGTTACCTCGCGAGTGCTCGACCATATCAGATCCGGTCATCCAACCACCGCTGGAGCCGGTGATGCTGACGGCGTCGGCGAATTACCCTGCGGCTGTCGGGGGTGGATAAAGAGAGAGATCCGGTTAGGTGGCCTCAGGGGCACGACCCTTGATACCCCGAAATATGCACCCGAGTACAGTACAATGCGGAATTTGCCTCGGATGCATATACCGCAGCCTGCCGCGAGGCGAATAATACATGGTATTTCCTATTGGCTCACCGGAAACTCTGACTAAATTGTAGAGCTTTTCTCCGATGAACTGGTGGGGGGGGGGGGTACTGCGGCCCCGTGCTGTACTGTACTTGGGCACAAGCATTTCGAGACGAGCTACCGCAAGCGAATAGAGGAGTGAAGGTACAGTTACGGGGCTCGAGAACAGGACCATATACGACCCGCGAATGCTAGCATCTCCAAGCGCAAGTTGGGAGATGGGGTGGGTGAGGAGGCAATTTTCTCGAGCGCTGAAAGGGGTGAAAGGTCACATTTACTTGTATATCTGGACATTGACTGCGGCAGGGATAGCTTGGCCTGGTACTTTTCATGGAAGCACATAGTGTCTCGGGAGTGATATCCCCTGGGTCGAATCAATTCCAATTTGTTAGTTTGGAGTAACCTAACTTGCCCTGCTCGGTTTCGTTCGTATTGGGGTCTTGTGAGTAGGTATTCCTTTTTTTTTTCATTCAAGTTGGCGATTGTTTTGGCAAAACCTCCGACTCCCTCTTTAGCGAAACCAGGATACGATCGACTTGATTGGAGATCACGGCATGGCGCACATACTCGACTTGACAGGGTCATCACGTATCCCAAAAAACTCACAAGTGGGATCAGACGCACGTATGTACCGATACAAAGTGCTTTCTTTTTGCAATTGTAGGAGTTCCCCGGTATCCAAGATACCTTATAGGCCGCCGCAAGAACGCATATCTATGGGATCATATCATGGGACCAATATGCAGGGTACTGAATACCTGCCGTACGGTACATAGATCATGCACGGGGAGGAAATCGATTGGCGGTTATTATGGACGAGGGGAGGCGTGGTGAACGATCAGGTCTCCCTGGTGATTAGGATAGCTCTCTACGCGTTTGCATGCCGGATGGAGAATAGGCTGTGCGAGAAGGATCAGGATTCCTGCGATGATTGTCCGGTAATTCGTGGAGCGGCTGTCGGGGCTGTCGTGGAGTGCTGCGCTCAGCGGATTGGAAACCTGCGGTACGCTTGTACTCGTAACTGGTGATAAGTATTCGGTAGCACTGGTGCTGAGTTTGTGTATGAGAGCTCCATATATTTTGTGAATCCCTGTTATCGGGTACTGTACTCGAGAACGGTACTTCTTGCATACCGCGAGTATCCCCACCAGTTCGTCTCCACTTTCATTTTGCTCTATTAAGCCATGTTTCACCGGCCCGCAGATCGTCTGATACGTGCTAAGTTACCCGGAGGCGTTTCGTATTTCACGGTTTCTAATTGGTCGAGTGTCTAACCCTAACCCTCTGTCCAATTTCTGTGGTGAGCCGCTTTACCGGTAACTTACAGTGCCCCATCAAAAGTTAGCATGGCAACTATTGTTTTTTTTTTTAAGAAGGAAAAAAAAAAAAAAACCCTCAACATAAGAAACTTTGACCTCCTAAATTGGCCCCTCTGATGTGAACCGGTGCTCACGTGTGATAAGAGCTGCCACTGCCGCGCACGCCGGGAAGGGGGCCACGGATTTTTGCATCGAGATCAGGAAGTCAGACTGCGCGAGTACTGAGCGCTGGGCTTCGGTCCTCTTACCTGATGGACTATCTGCCGAGATGCTTCCGTGCTATTCCAGCAACAGCTCGTTCTGCAGACCCGCTGCAAGGTTGGTGGGCCCACAGTTTTTTTAACTGTACTCGAGTACAAACCTAGAGCCTCTTCCCCCCCCCAATGGCCCACAAGCGGACTTGTTGGACTCTATTTAAGAAAAAAAAGGAATTTCTAGGAAGCTGTACGGCCATTTCTTTCGCAAGCGCCGGAACCGATATTTCCTCATAATATCACTTTTCAGGTAATTCTATACGGGCTTGTACCCCCCCCCTCCATTCCCGTCGCATCTTTACTGCAACTTGCTACGCAGCACCCGCAGATCGCGGGGATTTCTGTTCCACGAGTGATGAGCTGTGACCGCCCTAATGCAAGCTCCTGCGCTAGCGAGCTACAGTACTTGTATGGAAAACCCTTTGATGGGACTTCTTGACTCTTTGCTATGGAGGGGAGGTTAGGTTTGCTTCTTTCCACGGCTGAATCTTGGCTGCTTTTATTATGCATTTTATAAATCACATCTCCTTTGCCGCCGGATGCAGAATGGAATCGATATGGCGCCGGATGGCTTCATCAGCCAATCTCCAAAGCCCCTATCAGCCCCCCGCCACCTCCGAGAGTGGACGGCAGTTGTCCTCCGGCATTTTTTTGAGGCTGCAGAAGTGGCTTTTACGAACAGGCATCAGCTACCCTAGTCGTTGACTAGAGAGAAGCATGCCATCGCCAACTTTTGATGATACTGCTTTACTAATGCAAAATATTTTGCCTACTGGAAACAAATATCCCGTATCATATCATACTCGTAATTCTCCGACGTTTGTGGGAAAAACTAGGCCCGCATATGATTCTGGGGCAACTTCCCACCGGGACCCGCGAAGACACGAGGTGCAAGTTCCTTTTTGTGAGAGAAAGAAAAGTCGGCAAAGACTTTTTAAAAGCTCAGACTTAGTGGGTCGTGTGGTACTTGGCCTCCAAAGTCACAGAATATTATCTTTGAACTCCTAGATGGCGTCCTAGTTTTTCGAGTTTTTTTTTGGGGGTGTCCTTTCTGGGCATCGCGGAGTAGGATAACTGAGAGAACTTAATGGAACGGGAACTCGTTACCAACGTACAGTACTGTACATGTTAGTCACACCTTTGATATACATAGCTTGCTACTACTGATCTTATTTGTTCATCCACCAAACGCGGGCGAAAAGGGACCTGGTCGTGTTTACAAACTCTGGGGAATTACGGGTGAGGGGGGAGCCATGCCGGCAGTTTTGCTTGGGCCGGGATCCGTAAATCTGCAGATGTGGGGAGATGCGTTGCGCTTTGCGCCCGCAAAACTAATAAGTGATCTGAGTGGATTGGGGGGTTTTGTAAGTGAGGGGTTATCCTTCTCATAATGGTATGGAGTGATGGAGAGTGATAAAAAGAAAACAAGTATAGGAATGTCATAAATGGTTTGCCGCGATTGACCTTATTGTATCGTACTTGGAGTCCGAGTCCGCTCATTCTTTCAAGTTACATCCGGTATATTAATATCTATGAACCGGCGGAGTGATCCGGACAATGTACTCGTACTGGTACGATACTACGAGTAGTAAGGGGGGGGGGGGTTCCATATGCTTTGCGCAACAACCAGTACGATACATGATGTACTTGTACTTCCTTTACAGGAAGAGGACCTTTTAGGGTCTATTTCTCGACCTGGTGCTTAATGTGGCCCTGGAGGTATATCTTGGTTGACAACCTGAGTATCAGTAGTGAATCAGGGTATGATTACTGAATTTTAAGGTTGGATATCTAACCGTTGATTAGGTTCGGAGCATCAGCTTCAAACCCGTGTATAGTAGCTAAACAACCTTAACCTCCACGATTGAACCATTGACAGGCTTAAAGCTAACCATAACAGGTAATATCTTGACACTGTTATTCCAGGTTAGGAAGCTACCGCGCATACCTCTACTGGATTCGGAAATGATCAACTGCTTAATAAACATCGAACTCACCCAAGAGCTCATCCCCGAGATGGTACCTGTGACTTATGCATATGGCAGGGGAAACGAAGGGGGGGGTTAACGAAGTGTGCAATAATGCACATTCAGCAAAGCACTGTATATTATACGGTAGTGGAATATTCCTCTAGATAACCATAAATCCTTGTTCCACTCTTAGCGTGTGTTACCCCGTTGTGCGAGTGCCGCCTTGCTCTGTGGGATCATTGACAGACTACCGTACCGTAGTAAGGCGCAGGGACAGCCTGCTCCCTTTCTCCCTTTCTTGCTTTTTTTCTAAAAAGTACACCCTGTGTTCATAATTAAATAACGGCTCAGGTTCCTGCTCGCGTTTTGTCTGTGTTCTCTCCGCGTGAGCTGAGGAACGACCTTTTTTTTGTTTTTTTTTGTTTTTTTTGTTTTTTGCTATCATACACCTCCCCGACGTGCGAAGGTTGATAGCCCTATGTGAGAGACACCCTTGGGCACCCAGGGGGGGGGGGAAGGGGAGAACGTTTTGTGTACCATACCGGTACGGCGGTGCATGCTTAGGGAAGTTTATCATTGTTGTCTGTCTGATACTGCGCAAGATTGGGGCGCTACTCTACCGTAGATGAGTATATAAAACACCCGGCGCTCCCCTCTCTCCAGGTCAGAAGCTCCAACAGAACAGTCATCAACGAAACAACATCCATTATACCTCCTCCGCAAGAGACAAGTAACGGATTCGTCTTTGAGTCTCCAAGGTATGTCGTTCACTCCATCCATTCCTGAGACGGGACACATTTCCTGACACCCCTGGGTTCCCTCAGCTACGCCGATATCTCACCAAGATCTACCATGCCCACAATGCCCGTCCAGACCACCTACGTCGAGATTTCCCAACAGGCCATCGCTGCTGCCGATGCTGCTCTCAACGCCCCCGGACAGGCGGGAAATGCAGGCAAGCCACCCAGCACAACAGGCATCACCAGGTATATGGAACAAGCTACCCATGCCGATGGGACACCGGTCTACGGCAACCATCAGGCGAGGCCGAGGAAATGAATTACCGCCGCCGTATCGGTTGCTGGTAGGTTTCTCCGATTACCCGTGAGAATCTCTAGCTTACCCATGATATCGAATGCAGGTTTCTATCATATCATGTTCGGATTATTGTTGGGTTGCATGCTTCTGAGTTCGGGGGGTATTTTTTTATTATTATTATAAGGATTCTGTTATTTCATATGTCTGGTGCACTCAGCATAGGGTTTAGATTGGTATTTATGGAAAAGGGGAAATTGCCGAGTCCGGGCGTTTGATAAAAGCTTTATTCTTATTCTATTATTATTCTTACTGGTTCTTCAAGTTTTCCCTTTTCCTCATTTTTCTCTCTCTCTTTCATTATTCCCGTTCCTTTTTCTAAGCAGGAGGTAATTCTGTTTCGATTTTAACCCTAACCCCACTCCCCCCCTTTTCTTGATTTTTTTTTTTTAATGAGAAGCCATCATGGGCACAGGTGGGATTGGAAGAATGGCTTATTTTTTTTAATTTTTTTTTCATAGATATAGATCTCGCGTTATTTAAAGGAAGAGAAGAAAGGAAAAAATTGACCCCATAAGCATTGGATTTTTATTTGTTTATTAATTTTTTAGCTTTGCGGTTCACTACAAACCTTGCTTTCCTTCCTTCCTTCCTTACCCACTCTGTGCGCGTACAGTACAGCACAGTACGAGTAGTTTACCATTCTTCGGGGCCACTTGAACGTTGTCGGAGTGAAAAAAGGAAAATTACTGCATTTGATCACCTCGGACCAATGGTATTGGGTATCGAGGCCAGCACTTCGGAAACCAATATCTTCTATTCTTGTCGACTTTAAAGCGCTGTAGTGCAAGTACTGTACAGTACCACCGTAAGTCGCTAGGAGCATTAAAAAAAAAACGCACGGCTCGGTTGCGATGATATATCATATCACAAAAGCAAATGGAAAAGGGTGGAAGGTTTGGGATTGGTACAGTACAGTACAATGGTTTTGAGAGTGAGAGAGAGCAGCGCTGAAAAAAGAAGGAAAACCTCCTTGGAAAAAAGAAAAGGAAGAGAAGAGATTGTGCGTGCGCGCCTACTCGAAGGAAAGGATAAAAATAATACTATGATAAAAAAATTCTTTGCGCTTCAGCTTTCTCTTGAACTCCATCTCCATTTCTTTTCTTCTCACACCTCATAATTATCATACCTGATCACGGCGATGCGCTCGAATAGGGCTTGGGGCTATGATAGGGTCTCGTAAGGGGGAAGGGGGACGAAATTTGGATGAAGAACAAGCAAAAAAACACATTTTTATTCACTTCTCACTGGCAGGATGGAACAGGCTCCTTGCACGCACATCATAGGAACGAAAATATTAAACGGATTAGTTGAAGAGCACCACACGGTTGGGAGAAATAGGGATAGTGAGGTTGCCTTTCCCCTCACGCTTCATCGCACATCACTTCTTCCCACGTTTTTTGTCTCGGCGAACGCCTAATGGACTGCCGGGAAAGGGGAAAAAAGGAGTGTGAGAGGAAAAAAAGGCTTGAATGGATGATTAACATAAAATGCATAACTTAAAGTGCCACGTGGTTTTATTTCCCACGAGTGGTGTGTGCTATCAGTTTGTCCCCATCATAACTCAGGGAAGAAATGAGGAGGGGGAGAAAAAAGAAAAGAAAGCCTCACCCTTTTCCATTAAGAAAGAATGGGGGAGGGGAAAAAAACGTGGTGTCAACGGTGCCGCACCGTGCTCGAGTGCGAGGAAGGCTCGGGAAACGGTACAGTACTTGTAGCAAATTATTTACCAGGTTTCTCCCTGCAGAGATGATGTGCGAGCTTGGAATGATATGGTAAACGCATGTTTGGTGAGTTAACCTTGGAAATGGTATTTTCTCATATTGTAACCCCTAAACTAACTCTCTCCCCGATGGATCGCTCTGCTCTCAGGCCTTTGCCGATAGAGCTTTTCTGGAGTCGGTCCCATATGAGTTTAAAGGAGGTTTTTAACTTCGGCACGGTCCGCAGGCTTCCCCATTTTGGCGGCATCTACGCAAAAATCTCTATGTGTTCTCGAGAATCTCAGAAACGCTGGTTCTGAAGGAAGAAGAAATAGAAGTCCAGCCAAACCGACTACCGGTATCCTACCGGTACCCCCAAGGGAATGTTATCTCTACCTTGGCCAACTTGGGATTTTCTTTCCGGAAACTAGGGCGGGGGTAGGGGGCGAGTGAGCCGAGGGGGGATGAAGGGTTTCTCCATGATATAACACTCGACAATCTAGCTATCATCCATCTACGACCCAATACTATAGCCTGGCCTTCTTCTGCACACAGACAGAGATTTTGTTTGTTTGTTTTACACACTAATCTCCGTGTTTTCTTCTTATTCTTTGGATTCCAACCACGTTCTGTGCTCTGTGCGGGAGGGGGGTGTCACTAGCGACCAGACCATAGCTGGGGGACGGAAGATATTATCCGGTGCGACGAATCAGATGTGCGCAAACTCAGTCTCAGTGCTACAAGCTTCAACCACCCAGATCCCGGAGCTGGGGCGGTTATCTGGTGGGAAATAACACATTCTGTCTCCCAATCAGGTTGCGCCCTCTCGGATGTTGGACGTTGCCGGACCCAGTGAGAGCGAGACTATCAACAGGACTTTTTTGACATTACCGTGGAACACGAAATAATTTGGAATGGCGTCCGGACGTCCAGAATTTCCTCCTCTGGATTAGGGGGGGGAAAAACACAGCGAAAGGATTACCTCTCAGCCCTCAACTGAGACAAATAAAAAGAAAGGTTACAACAGACCTTACTAGGAGAGGCAACTCCAACGTCCGAGAAATATTCCGGTTTTTACGGTATTTGACACTAACCCCCCCCCCCCTCCCTTTCCACATATAAGAGCACTGTTTGAGGCTTGATTCTGCATACCAGTGCTTTCCACCATGGCACCCTGTATGGACTTTCTTTATTGGTGCATGTCCTTCACGTACAGGTAGAAGCTTGCGCCTCAGTGCTACAGTGCCGTAGCTTAAACAGAATCCTGGTAATAAAGGTGAATCTTTTGGAACAGATGACGGTAACTAAGACATTTCGTGCATCGCCCAGGCTGTCGTGCCCGTTTCGAACCGCCCAAACCTTCCCCAGCCGTCATTGGAAAATCTAAAACCTTTGCCACTTTCGGGGGTTTCTCCCCGCCCTTCGTTTTCCCTCCCTTGCTCATTGCAAGTTGAATCACAGTTGGCGGACACTGCCACTAGTACTCTTTACATTCTAAGAAATTTCTCAGAGCAGAAGACAGTAAGGCAACTGGAGTAAAGTGCATGTCCTCAACATCCCCTTGCCAACAGCCGGAAGTAAAGGGTGCATAATACCTCTATGACCACCATCGGACCGATTGCCTCCGAACTTCCACCAACCTCTTTCTCCCGAAAATACACCCGTAGTGATTTCCTTCAGCTGAATATTGGATCCCCCCCCAAGTTCCCCGAATTTGCTCACGACTTGCCCGACAAGCCCCTTAAAAATCGACTCCGGTGTTACCCGTGCTTGGTTGGCCTGGGAGGCTCGTGTGGGGGGGGGGGGGTGAGGTGGCCTTCGAATCGTAGACATATACACAGTAAGCCGCTCAGTAGCACGGGGCGAGGAACCTGCCCGAATCCTGGAGACCAGACACGAGTACAACATATGCGCAAGCAACGAGCGCAACCGCAAGAGGGGACCTGCAGAATTGCATTTTTCCTGTGCGGCGCCCGGAAGGAAGGGATTTTCCACCCCTGCCGGAGGTCGTGAACAGCGTAATCGCCGAGGACGGGCAGAGTTGTATCCAACACGGTGTGACGCGGAACCCAGAAATTTTAGGCTATCGATCAAAGTTCCAAAACCGGCACGAGTGATACACAATGATTTTTGCGCCCCAAGGGATTTTCCGCCCGCCCTTAACACAGCGGGGTCGGGTCACGTTTCGGGAATGAAAAGGTGTAAGGACGACCAACTCCAGTCATCGTGTCAATGCCCCCCCCCCCTTACATCCCTTGACTGGAACGTGTAAACACGGCAAAGTTTTTTTATAACCCTACGTGGCATTGGTGCCTGTACTCAGGGCTATACGGCGGACAGGGCCAGATAATGGCTCATTACGGGAGAGTGGCGCCTTAGGAATAATAATACTGGTTTGCGGGTGGTTTCCATCCTAGAAATAATTATGAAACGTTTAGATGTGAATCCCCGAGGTGCTCAACTTTCCGATAAGTCGAGTTATCTTTCTTTCTTTTTTTTCCCTTTTTTGTTTTTTTGCTGGGGATTTTTCCAACTAAGCATTGGGCGAGGGAGATTCGCATCTTATCGTATATGTCATACTGCCCCATTCAGGAGCGCGATTCTAGTAGATAAGCGTTGCAACCGCAACAGGGAATCGAGTTAGTAGTAGTATCGTACCACTTCAGCGGGTATGAGATAAGCTTACGCAATTGGAGGGATCACCAGGACGCCCCCAATATGGGCTTCACGCTGGGTGAGTTGTCATCTCTCACCGGGTAGACATTTCGACTCTGTGTTCATCTCTTTCCCTTCTATTCCCCCCCCCATATTTTGTTCCTACGAGTAAGTCAGATCCGTGGCTGATGCTATTCACAATATCTCTAGTTAATAGTGCTGGGGCCACCGTCGTTGCGCCATTCCATAAGCGCGTAAGAGTGCCCTCGTGTCACATTGGCATGTCTCCCCTGCATTGTTGGCTTGGGTCCCGGATTTTTTTACTAGCCTGAATTGGGACACTTGTGCCGTAGAAACTCAAATAATCAGACTCTAACCTAAGTGTTAGAGCTGATTCGTTTGCAAGCTCTGGGATATATAGGTTCAAGAGGATATCCCCTTGACCAAATAGGTTACCTTCTCGATGGAATGCTCCACTGGGATAGCCGGATTTGGCTCATCCCAGTCAGTAAGAGAAAGGCGAGTGATATTTGATGTTAGTAAAGATGCCTCTGTAGTGGACTATGGAAGAAAAAAGAGAAAAAAACACACATGCACCATCATAAATGGAATCTTTTTTATTTCCATCTCCTTGTTATAGTACAGCGCACAAGCTTTACTGCCCTCGGTGTGGTCCGTTGATGGCGGCTGCGGTAAGGAGGTACGGTAGAAAGTAAATTTGTGATAGGCTAGGCGCAAGTGCGGTGGGTAGTTGTGGTGATAAAGCGGATTGTTCAATAGGAGGGGGTAGCAGTTTGGTGGTAAATTTGTGGGCGAGAGACCAGTGATTGAAAGGTTTAAAAGCGCATACCGGTAGGATTAAACTGTATTTAGAAAACCTTTGAGGAGCTTTATAACCGTTTTACTTGATTGCTTGGAAGGGCTGATTTCTGCTTGTTCTGTAGGATGCCAAGCAGAGAAAGTCACCTACTTGGCTGAGGGGATATCCCCTTGGCCAAGTGAAAGTATTTCCCCGGCAGGATGGACAATAAGATATGTCTTGAGCTCGGGTTAGGAGTATCAGTTTTTGCAATGCCGTCTAGACTCCTTATCCAAGGATGGGAACTCCGTCCTCTTCACCCGGGGTCCTATTGTTTATTTTCTCACAGCGCCTTACTGAGTGTCTTACCGAAGGTGCCTGCATGCAGACCGCAAGACGTCAAGGGATTAAACCACAGTAAAGACTTTTCATCCAAGTTGGTTCCCATATAGGTTAGTGTGGCGGGGGTATGATAGGTGATTCTATCTCTCTTAGCCCTTGGGCTGCAAAACGTCAGTATTGGCCCGGGCGTTATGTATTTTGTTTTACCATATAAAAATGCCTTGCTTGCTTGCTGTTGTAGCAAAGTTATTGACCGACACTATAAATCATTTAGTCAAGTGGGCTATTTAACCTAATTAAATAGGCTTTGCCGAGGCCGAAGCCTTTCTTTGGCTAGGCTGTGCTATGCCCTTCGCGCGCTAGACTTGGGAGCTAAGAATTGCAATTGATGTTAGCATATGCGAGTTTGCTCCACCAATCCAATTCGATCCAATCTCGAGTGACTATTGATGATCGACCCAGCCGGAAGTTATGAAATACAGTGCGAAAGGGCCAAAACACCCCATATCCGACCAAAACTAGCCTAGTGAGCCTGGCCTGAACCCCTGATTAATTTAACCGGGGTCTCCAACCTGAATAAAAGCAGTGCACCATTCCTTTAACTTAAACAGCTCCCAGCCCGGGTCGGGGGTCCCGGATTCGGGGGTAAATTTTCGGAATGTTAAGGAGACCCTCCCTGCATGGGTGCCCTGATCGGTGCAGCGTATACGGTGTGCGAGAACAGGTTCCAAAATTGACAGTTCCCTTCCCCCGGGTATGACCCGCCAAAGGCATCTAGCGAATCTGATGCTATATCCGGATCGGCGTGCCTTCGGTATCACAAAAGTGGCTTTTCTGGTAAGGGGAAATGTGTGTTCCCCGCCTGTAGTGTTCTAGATTTTTACAACCTCCGCTCAGCCTCCGGCGCCCTGCCACGGCCCAACCTTCCGTGAATGCATCGTAGGAACCCCCCTCTTCTACAAGGTTGGCTGTGGAAATTTTGGCTGTATGGTGAGTGCAAAGCTGCCCGGAATACCTGGCACAACAATAGTTACCGTAGAATCTAGGTTGGGCGTAACAACTCGGGACCGAAGAAATAGTTTAGGAAATCACCGACAAGAGGAAAGAACTGGACGGGATTGCGATCCACTCTGGATTTTTGTAATCCGAGTATCCCATATGGTTCACTTCGAGTCACCAAGCTATTGGAAAAAAGCTACCCATTGTATATGCCATTTCCCAGTAGGAAGAATTTAAGGTATCATATCCCAGGGACCGTGGGAACTCGAATAAGCGAAGCTATGTGCTATGAGGTTAATTTTTGGTAGGTCATACTAAGGGAATTCACCATCAATACGCAATATCAGTTTTAATTTTTCTTTGCCCTATCATAGAAAATGGCATTCTCATCATCTTATCTACCTGACTCTACAGGATCAAACATACCAGCTATCTCTCCACCCTTTCTTCAATCTTTTGACCCTTGATCAAGTAATTTTCTTACAATATTCCATATTGATATCTCATGATCTGCTGACCCGGTGATCAGAAGAGATAGCCCAACAACCTGAAAGGCCTTTACATCTATTTTCTTTAATAAAAAACGCCCATGCCTTATGCACCCCACAAGCCAAAGAAAATCTGTCAGTGACCAACCGTACTTTTCTCCAAGGTGTCTTTCTTTGGGATGTACCCCACATAATCCAGCTATGTCTTGTTTCCCTATTGTATGTTGCATAATATATACGTCAACCAACCTTCGTCCCCCACCCCGTTTTGCAAGATTATTTAACTAATTTGCGCAATTGTCAGGTTCACAAATTCCTCTCATGGGCAGAAAAAGAAAAGAAAAACAGGGCCACAGACCTGCACTTCTTCTCCAACGCATTCCCTGCATACGTCAAGTAACCAGCAAGCGGATGATTGGTGCATTTAAGCCCATTCACAAACGCTTGAGCAACGATGTCCGCACCCTCCGGAGATGTGTGTGTATGATCATTAGGGAACAACTTCGGGTATACGTTTGTGTATCCTAGGGTTTCAAAGGCGATCGTCACGAACTATCACCCATGTATGTGAGCCTATAGTATGTTCACGAGGGGTATGTATTGGGTGGGGGGGGAATCAACTTCGTAATGGTCGATATATGTCGCCTCTGTAAAGTTCCCGGCAGCCATCTTAGCATATGGGACGAAGCGGTTCGGCGCTAGCATTTCGGTGTGCGCGGGGTTCCAGGCGTCGCCGTTGGGAGTTGTTGAGGAAACAACGGGGAAACCTCCTTTCCCGATGACGTCCCTGATGAACCACTTTTCGTAGGTAACGAACGTCTGCACAGTCTCTACCGTTCCGTTGGCAAGTTTGACCACGGTGGTTTGTGCGCCATCTCCCCAGGTCTCCCCAAAGTCAGTTATGGCAATGAAATGTTAAGTGAGGAAGTATTGTTCACCGGAGCCCGATCACTCGTCGCAGGGCTCCCACCGTCATTATGGCCGAATTCAAGAATGACATAATCTCCTGCTTCGATCTGGGAAATGAGTTCTGCCTGGAGGCCTTCGCGGTAGTATGACCTTGCTGAACGGCCTCCACGAGCGAGGTTGATTATGGGGAGGTCGATGTATTGTGAGAAGGGGGTTCCCCATCTACTTGTCTCTTCTGGTTACTCGTATATCTCTGGCGCTGAAGAAGGCAGTGGGTACAAACCCTTGGATAGAAGACTTCCAGTGTGCCATTGTAGAATCGCCCGCCATAAGAATTTTCGCTGCTGATACCGAGGAAATGCCAATGGCAGAGAGAGCTATCAGGGCAGCAAAGAGACCAGAGGACTTCATGATGATGAGTTTTTTTGATGGGCGACTTGGGCCTAATAATCCACTAGACTAACGCGCTAGAGAAGAGTGTAGGGGAACAAGGCACAAGAGTCCAGCCGGAGGAACCAGAAGAACTCTTTCCATAGTCTTATATGGACCCTTATTTCATTCCTTTATTGAGGAAGGAAAGAGGAATCACGGATAAATAACAGACTACAGTACCCGGAAGTTCACTGGAGCACCTTTCCTGAACAGGGGATACCAGGGGTAATCCTAGCTCAAATACACTTGGTTTGAGGTAAAATACTCGAGTAGTTAGACCCCTGGTGTTCCTCCATTCCGGTGTTGTGATGAAGGGGGGGGGGGTTGGATCAAAAAACGATCGAAGGGCTGGAACACGCTTTTTCGAACCAGGGGGTTATATGATAGAACCCCTTCTAACAAAACAATAAACAATTGGTAGATTCTTGGATAATTTACTCCTCTTTCCCTGCTTCTAAGCAAGGAATATTTCCCGCGATTTTTGCTTACTAAGATATTATAGAACCCCCCATTCTATTCCAATTTTCAGAATCCCCGATTCAATCCCCTCCCCTTCTAACCCCCCGAGTTCGACCACCGAAGGCCTTCTTTGCAACATTGCTCCATTCCCATAGAAGCGAGAAACCGGCGGGTACGCGGGGATCTCACCGATATTCGAAACTCACTAAAGATCCGGTAATTTCTCCCTAGCTAGACTTGATATCTCCTTTCTTTCAACCGCCCAGGAGTAGAAAATCTTTTGCTCGAATCTTTTATTGTACTAGTACAGTACAAGTACGCGTCACTGAGAGAAGTGCTGTATTGTAACTAGAAAAGTGAATTATTCCCATTAAAAATCCCTATAGAAAACCACCCTCACTGAATTTGGACGGCGCGCAACACGATTGGGGTTGAGTGGATTTGGAGGCAATTTCTAGTCGGGAAGGTTGATTTGGATCGAGTAAAGTAAATTAAAAAAATATATATCATAGAGAGAACCATGTTCCCCGCTATGGAATCGAATTCCGTTACCCTAGTGATCCGTAATGATAACGACCCTACGGCCGACAACCCCCGGGTCCTCATCTCCACTGGCAACTCCTCAATTTTTGAGATACATAATTCCCCTCATACTAACTGAATTTCATAAAGTGTGAAGTTGTGGTTGACTGGATGGCAAGACGAGAAGGAGCTGAGCGAGAAGAGTGTTTTTAGAAAAAAGAAAAGGAGAAACAAGCCGGAACAAGAAGGTGCTGTACTCTACTCAATGTAGGGGTGCGGAGGCGTTAATACAAGTAGACTCGAAGAGAGTCATTTACAGTATTAAGAAGGTGTCGATTCTAGTGGCTCCCAGCTTCTTTGACTTCAGTAGTGTACTAATGTAATATTAGGGAGCTCAGATTTACCCGAGTTGAATTAATAGCCAAGTAAGGGAGAGGACTGGGGACAATACGGTACTGTACTCGGCATTTTTTTAAGTCTCCGGAATGAAAGTTATGGATTATGTGATGTGAGTTACAGAGGTGTCATGTAGAGATTCTTGCATAAAGCCAGGATATACCAGCATTGGGGAGTGAACAGTTGGAGGGAAAGGTCAAGCATGATAGTTATTCCCCTATTAACATTAATACATTTCATAACAATCCCAGATAACCTCTCAACCTCCTTATTGATCTCATTAATAGTAAACTTGTTCCATTCTTCTTGTAGTATGATCTTCATACCCTGTACACTTGTAATATGTTCCTTTCCCCACCAGGTCTGAATCCGGCTCTTCATAAGAGTCCAAATATGCTCTATTGGGTTTAAATCAGGAGACTTTGGAGGCCACTCCACCTTCTGAATCCCTTCTTTTACCCTCTCTGTATTAGTATATACAGAGTCATGGGATGGAGCATTATCTTCTATAAGTTTGAAGTTGGGATTGAGGTTAATTTGCCTTCTGCACTCAGGCCAAAGCAGTGGCCAAGCCACACACTTCACATAATGCCATGAATCGATTCCTTTTCCTTCATTACATTTGAATTTTTCCAATTTAAAGTTTTTGCCACAGTGGCTCTGAGGAATGTATCATTTTGGTATGTTGAGATGCTTTTCAACTTAAAGCTGAGTGTGGAAGGTAGCTTGTACTAACTTTCAAAGCTCATTCCACTTGGCAGAAGCCTTTCATTCAGTGTTTAGCTGATATTCTTCTGCCTGATGGGTAGCTTCTCATAATACAATAATGGCAGTAGCTTTATCCTTTTTCAGTGAAGTTTCTGGCTCTCATACATAGAACAGATCTTTCCAACCCAAACCCACCATCTTCCAGCATATCACAGACTCTTCCTGCATTTTCATATATCTATATCAGTCATCATACCATTGTTTAGTCTTATTCCTCCATACAAGGTTTAGACCCTACATTCCACCCACTTTAATTGACATTTCATTGGTAAATCCGTAGTATTCCCAATTATTCATTCCCCAGTCCTTTGAATCATTGCAATAATCAAGTTTCTTTTGTTAATTCTCCACTTTTAGAATAAACTTTAACTCTTCTTGATATGGCTTAATGTCTTGTAATCGTAGAGCCTTCTAAATATTAGAATTGCTGACTTGAGAAAAACCTGCCTGACACTGAAGATCGGTTAGTGTCATTTGTCAAGTACTGAAATTGCACTTTACTGTTGTAATTAAATGATCGATATCACTTTCAGTCAATACTTTTAGGCACCTGGGACATGGTTTTTTATTGAGACAACTTGATGATATTAACTCTAATAGTGGTATCCCGCTCATTCCTTCCACTTCCTCACTCGTCCTAGTTATCTATTCCATCTCCTCCTCTTCACCTTCCGGTCACATTCCCATAGTCCCATTTCCTCCTACCTCAAAAGCAACCTCCAGTTCCTATTCCTGTGCTGTAAATAAGACTTCCTTTCTCACTTCAACCTCAAGTCCCCTCAGACCTGCTACCGCACATACCCTTCTCTCCCCTAGTCCAGATCCTTCACTTCTTACCACAACACCTTCTTCTCTTTCCTCTTCCTCTTTTTCCACTATTCCTTCACAGCTCACAGTTGGCCCAACCCATATCCTGAGGCTGCTCATAGCCTCAGGGCGACTCGCATTCTCAGAAGCTTGAGAAATTCGTCGTAGGGTTGCATTTTTTAATGCATGATGGTAGATGTCGCTTGTAGTGGATATTGGTATCTCGGTTCATAATTGAATTTCTTTAAATTCAAGACCGAGTTTGCATAATGTAACTACAGCTGCTTGTCTCTGTGGTGTTATTTCCCTTCCTGTTAATTAAATTAGTAGTTTAAGTCATCTGCTCCAAAATTCAGAATCTCTCACTTACCTGAGGGGTTTCTTTGATTTGCCATTGTAGGTTAGTGCTGCTGTGAAGGATTTGCATATGCAGTACAACCTCTCTATCGCCCTGCGACTTACACCTGCTACCAAGCATATAGTTACCCCTTTGGATTGTAACTTATGCCACACCATTCTGGAGACTTGAAAAAAATACTAAGTACAAGTACTTGAGTATACCTTCCCCTATGGCATGGGACACAACCTGTAGGAGGTGCCTCGAATGCCCGTAGACTTTTGACCATGTTGTGCAATACTCGGCTCTCGCTCAGTCGAGAAGAAACATACTCCACCAGGTTTTTGACGTGGGTCGGAAGTCGGAGCTGTGGAAGGGGGGTAAGGTGGGCAAGAAACTGATGGGAGATTTTCTCTCTTATGTGATAGAGAATAGGATTAACTTTCCGGTGAAGATGGGGGTTTTTCCATTTACGTGGAGTGCTGATTTGGCATCATGATGATATGTAATGATTTTCATTTGTAACGGGACTTGTTTAGTGATTTTTATCATTTATTTGTTTGTTTTAGAGGTGAATAAAGTTTCTTTTATTATGTTAATGAGGTTTTTAGGCCATACCTTAGGGTGCTTGCCATGGATTTCTCCCGTAGTTAGCTACAAATAAACCGTGGATTTAACAAATAAAAAAAAACCTTCCTCTATGGCATTACCACTCAGAGGTATAATAGAGGGATCCAGAAGTCAGACCGGACCCTTGGAAAATATGCCAACCATAAACTACTGAGGCATAGTGTATTAGCAAGAAAATTATGAGTTCCAGTAGCTGAGACATAAGCCAAGCAAAAGTAGGACAAAGGTAGTTAGTTTGTAGACTTACTAAAAAGAAGAATTGAGAACATCAGAAAAATCATCTAAGTTGAAGAGATTTTTCATCATATATCTATTTGTTTAAAAACAATTTCAAACTGGTAATAACATGTCTTCTGAATCAAGAATAAACGAATACCTTACCCAAAACTCTCAATGATAGGAAAATCAGAACAAGTGGGATGGAATCTAGAGTCAAGACTGCAGTTGTCAGATTCAGAAGAATGGAATCGCTATCACCACTTTCATTGTGAATCAGTTGCTAGAACTTCCGGTCTTCAAGTAACAAACCTTCCAACTCAAGACTTTTTTCTAGATTCTACCTATCTATCCTATCTTTGTAATGCTGGAGTGACTACTCCTGGTATGTACATATAAACTAATAATAATACTTGAATTTTTTTGACATTTCCCCCTCCTAAAAAAAAAGGTAGTACAAAAATATACTTAGAATATATTAGCTGATAAGATAACTATACTTATACAAAAAATAGAGATACACAGAATAATAATATACAGTATAAATAATGAATACCAAATCAAAATCTTAATCCAATATTACAATAAATAAATATTAAGATTCAACAAGGTTAAGCAACGATCCTGACATGTACAATGAGTACTTTGATTGCTAGTTGAAGTCAGCTACTGATAATCAGAAATAAAATACCACTTGCTCAATCAGCTAGGACATGGCCAATTCCTGATTATCTAATCTCGGTAACTCTAAAAAATTGTCTAGCTAACTAAGCACCAAAAGATAGTTGTAATACCCTACTCTATAGTAGTAGCAGAGGATTACTAAATGATAGGGAAAACAGAA